GCATCGAGGGACCTCAGGATGTGACAAGGTGAGCCCACCCAGATGTGACAACGTGAAACATGAGAGGGATCCTGAGGCACAGGTGAGCTCTGGGGACCCCCAGGGTGACACAGGTGAGCTCTGGGGACCCCCAAGAGGACACAGGTGAGCTTTGGGGACCCTCAGGAGGACACAGGTGAGCTTTGGGGACCCTCAGGAAGACACAGGTGAGCTCTGGGGACCCTCAGGAGGACACAGGTGAGCTCTGGGGACCCCCAGGACACAATCAGGTGACCCACAGGTGAGTTCTTGGGACCCCCAGGAGGACACAGGTGAGCTCTGGTGACCCCCAGGGTGACACAGCTGAGTTGTGTCACCCCCCAGGACACACCACGGTGACACAGGTGAGCTCTGGAGACCCTCCAGGAGGACACAGGTGAGTTCTGTCACCCCCCAGGACACACCCAGGTGACACAGGTGAGCTCTGGTGACCCCCAGGGTGACACAGGTGAACTCTGGGGACCCCCAGGGTGACACAGGTGAGCTGTGTCACCCCCCAGGAGGACACAGCCAGGTGAGCCCCAGGTAGCACTCACCATCATGTGCAGGTCCCGGCAGCACTCAGCCAGCCCGAATCCATTCTCCTTTCCACCCCAGCTCTGTGGGGACACCAACCCAGCTCAGCCCCACCCTAAACCCCCCAAAAACCTCTCCCACCTCAGCCAGGTGCTGCAGGTGAGCCCTCAGTGCTCCGAGCCCAGGTGGGTGATGTAATTGGAAACCCAAAACCACCCAAAAAAACCCCCAAAAAACTCTCAAAAACCCTGTAAAATCCCCCTAAAATCCTCTAAAGCCTCTCCCACCTCAGCCAGGTGCTGCAGGTGAGCCCTCGGTGCTCTGAGCCCAGGTAGGTGATGTAGTTAAAATCCCAAAACCACCCAAAAAAACCCCAAAAAACTCTCAAAAACCCTGCAAAATCCCCCTAAAATCCTCTAAAGCCTCTCCCACCTCAGCCAGGTGCTGCAGGTGGGCCAGCAGGAACCCTCAGCACTCCGAGCCCAGGCAGGTGATGTAGCTAAAACCCCAAAAACTGCCAAAAAAACCCCTCCAAAACCCCCCAAAACCCTCTAAAACCCCCCAAAAACCCCTTTAAAACCCCTCCCACCTCAGCCAGGTGCTGCAGGTGGGCCAGCAGGAACCCTCAGCGCGCTGAGCCCAGGCAGGTGATGTAGTTAAAACCCCAAAAACTGCCCAAAAAAACCCCCCCAAAAAACCCCAAAACCTCTCAAAAACTCTCTAAAACCCCCCAAAAACTCTCTAAAACCCCTCTCAAACCCCTCCCACCTCAGCCAGGTGCTGCAGGTGGGCCCTTGGTGCTCTGAGCCCAGGCGGGTGATGTAGTTAAAACCCCAAAACCACCCAAAAAAAATCTCAAAAAAATCCCAAAAATCTCTCAAAAACTCTCTAAAATCCCTCCAAAACCTCCTCAAAAACCTCTCCCACCTCAGCCAGGTGCTGCAGGTGGGCCAGCAGGAACCCTCAGCACTCTGAACCCAGGCGGGTGATGTAGCTAAAACCCCAAAAACTGCCAAAAAAACCCCCTCCAAAACCTCCCAAAACCGTGTAAAACCCCCCAAAAACTCTCTAAAACCCCTCTCAAACCCCTCCCACCTCAGCCAGGTGCTGCAGGCGGGCCAGCAGGAACCCTCAGCACTCTGAGCCCAGGCAGGTGATGTAGCTAAAACCCCAAAAACTGCCCAAAAAAACCCCCCAAAAAACCCCAAAACCCCTCAAAAACCCTGTAAAACCCCCCAAAAACCCCTCTAAAACCCCTCTAAAACCCCGCCCACCTCGGCCAGGTGCTGCAGGCGGGCCAGCAGGGGCCCTCGGCGCTCCGAGCCCAGGCGGGTGATGTAGTTGGAACGTTTGCTGAACACGTAGAGCAGGTTGAGCACGGCCAGCACCACGTGCATGTCCGAGGAGGCCAACAACGTGGTCAGGTGCTGTCGTGGGGACAGGTGAGTCAGCTGTGTCACCCACCCACACCCACCCACCCACCCACCCAAGGGGGGTTTTTTGGGGGGCTGTCCCCACCTCGATGGAGCTGTAGAGGTGACGGGAGAAGCTGTACTCGATGAGCAGGGCGGTGAAGTTGAGCAGGGCCAGCAGCAGAGCCTTCAGGTTTTGTCTCTCGGGTCGGTCGCAGGCCAGCATCCAGCTCATGGCTTCCACCGGCCGGCCCGCCTCGGCCAGCAGAGCGTCGAAACGGTCCAGCAGGTCCACCCAGTGGTACAGCTCGCACTGAGGGGGGGGAGATTTGGGGTTGGGGGCACGGTCTGGACCCCCTGAGCCCCCC